CCCTGGAATGGGGAAGGAATGAAGATTTTGCAGTATCCTTCCCCTGGAGTGGAGAGGGAATGGAGATTTTGCAGTATCCTTCCCCTGGAATGGGGAAGGAATGAAGATTTTGCAGTATCCTTCCCCTGGAGTGGAGAGGGAATGGAGATTTTGCAGTATCCTTCCCCTGGAGTGGGGAGGGAATGTGGATTTTGCAGTATCCTTCCCCAGGAGTGGGGAGAGAATGGGGATTTTGCAGTATCCTTCCCCTGGAGTGGGGAAGGAATGGAGATTTTGCAGTATCCTTCCCCTGGAGTGGAGAGGGAATGGAGATTTTGCAGTATCCTTCCCCTGGAGTGGGGAGGGAATGTGGATTTTGCAGTATCCTTCCCCAGGAGTGGGGAGAGAATGGGGATTTTGCAGTATCCTTCCCCTGGAGTGGGGAAGGAATGGAGATTTTGCAGTATCCTTCCCCTGGAGTGGGGAGGGAATGTGGATTTTGCAGTATCCTTCCCCAGGAGTGGGGAGAGAATGGGGATTTTGCAGTATCCTTCCCCTGCCACGCCCACCAAGCCATGCCCACAGAACCAGTAGTAAAAAAAAAAACAGCTGGCTCACAGTCCTTTCAAAGTCGGTCCTTCAATATTCGCCTCTTAGCCTCAATAGGATTGACCTCTCGTATTCTTTTCCAGAGCTATAAATATCCTTTCCTGGGATGAGTAAAAAAACATAATTTTGCAGTGTTTCTTGCAAGGCCCTCCCTCTCCCCCCTCCCCCCCCATTGTCTTTCCTGCATGTCTGTTTTATCTCAGCTGTCTGTGATGCAAGCCACAAGGCATTTCTTGGCCCTTTCGGGGAACGTTGGCTGAAAAAAAAGAAGGAATAATGAAATTTTGAGAAGGAATAAATGGCATAACAGCGTACAGCATCGAACCTGGTCCGTTCTGCCTGCTCTGCAGAAGAAGGGAAGAATAAAGCGACAGGCATTCGGAGAGATTTTAATCTGCTTCCTTTCTTGGAAAGGCAGCTGAGTGAGGAACATGCGTGTACCACGGAAGGAGAGGCTGTTCGGATTTAATTAAGGCTTCCCACAACAGGATTTTAATGCAATTTGGATAATGGGCTTTGAATCAAACCACATGTCTCTCTCGCGTTGTGAGTCCGTGCCAAGAGAACGGATGCAATTTTGGAAGATGCGGGACTGACCTGCAGAGGGGTTTCGGGCAGTGGTGAAATTCATTTTTTTTCCTACCGGTCCTGTGGGTGTGGCTTGGTAGGTGTGGTATGGCTTGGTGGGCGTGGCTTGGTGGGTGTGGCAGGGGAAGGATACTGCAAAATCTCCATTCTCATCTTACCCAGAGGTGGCATTTGCCAGTTCTCTGAACTATTCAACATTTCCACTACCAGTTCTCCGAACTACTCAAAATTTCTGCTACCGGTTCACCGAACTACTCAAAATTTCCACTACCAGTTCTCTGAATTACTCAAAATTTCCACTACCGGTTCTCCGAACTACTCAACATTTCCACTACCAGCTCTCTGAACTACTCAAAATTTCCACTACNGAGAAGGACTGTGGGGTCCTTGGTGCTCTCTGAGCTTGGTTATTTTCCTGCAGACGTCTCATGACCCAACTAGGGAACATCGTCAGCGCTAGAAGGGAGTGGAGATTGCAGAGATAAGAGAAAAGGAGGGAGGGAGGGAGGAGAAGGAGGAGGAGGACTGTGGGGTCCTTGGTGCTCTCTAAGTTTGGCGGGCTTCCTTGCAGACGTTTCGTGACTGAACTAGGGAACATTATCAGTGCTAGAAGGGAATGGGGTATGCAGAGAGGAGAAGGAGGAGGAGGAGGATTGTGGCATCCTTGGTGCTCTCTGAACTTGGTTATTTTCCTACAGACGTCTCATGACCCAACTAGGGAACATCATCAGTGCTAGAAGGGAGTGGGGTTTGCAAAGAGGAGGAGGAGGAGAACTGTGGTGTCCTTGGTGCTCTCTGAGCTTGGCGAGCTTTCTTGCAGACGTTTCGTGACCCAAGTGGGGAACATCATCACTGCCATAACAAACTCGGACCAAGCTCAGAAAGCACCAAGAACTCCACAGATTGTGGCTTCTGGTCGTAATCCTACATTGGCTGGATAAATCTAAGCCACGACGTAGTTTATTTATCCTGCGTGAACCTGGGCATTACCGCTTTTTGTCGACCGCAGTTATTGGCTTCGCCCGTTGCCCATCCCATGGTCAACTGCTCCGTCCTTTTTTCCTCTCCTTCCTCCAGAGAGATCCAGCTTCCGGGAGCAGCATGGGCCTTCCGCCGTCCAGCACATAATGCCCCCATGCGCCTCCACCTGTCCCGTCCCCACCAAGCTCCTTCTGTGCCGCGACTCCTTTGGCCATGCGCGAGAGGAGCATGCCCGCTTGACGGATCTAAGATGTGACCCCCCCGGAGCGCCATGGAGTCCTTCGCGGTGGTAGCGGAGTACGACTCGCCTCCCAGTTCCGCACCGGGCCAGGCGGAGGGTCTGCTGGACGAGGAGGAGCCCATGGAACCGTGTGAGAAGGAGGAGACTCTTCCGGTCTCTTCTGGAGACCTCGGAGAACCAGGCCTGGCCGACCCTCCGAGGACTTCCAGGGAACCCTGGATCAAGGTGAACCTTTCCAGTCGCAAGCTCTCCCTGCAAGAGAGGTCTCCCTCCGTCCAGTCCCCCAGCGGGAACCTGGGGCTCAACGGCCGCTACATTTACCCGTCCCTCCCCTACTCCCCTGTCACTTCCCCACACTCCTCCCCACGCCTGCCCCGGAGGCGCACCGTCGAGTCCCACAGAGTGTCGATTACGGGGTTGCAGGTAAGAGAAGCCACGTCCCGGCCCGTGGGGGAGCGCAGAGATGGTTAGATTGCTGATCGTTTTTAAAAGGAGGAGGAAAAAGGGAAGGAAAAAGGAACGAGGGGAAGGAGAAAAGGAGGGGAGGAAAGATGCAGGAATGCCATAAGCGGATGATGGAATTACAGAGATGGGGTTTTTTCCCCTCCACACTTAATGACCGTTGCAACATCTGCATCATTATGGGATCAGAATGCAGGTGTTTGGCCACCGACTCATATTTATGACGGTTGGGAAATCCTCGGCTCGCGTGATCCATTCTTGCGTGGCGATTCACTTAAACAACCGTCTCAAGGAAGGTCGTAAAACGGGGCAAAAAAAAAAAAACTCGGTTAGCAAACGCCTCTCCTTGGCAACAAGAGATCTTGGGCCTCCCTTGCGGTTGCAAATCGAGGATGGTTTGTAAATATAAATCAATGCCAATATAAAACTATAAATAACCAAGTTATAAGTGCATAAATAAAACGTTCGGTAAGTGTTTTGAAGTCAAGGTTGGGGATAACGGGAGCCGAAGTCCTGGGAAATTCATCCCTGTCAGAATGCTTCTCTGTGTGTGTGTGTGTGTGTGTGTGTACTCACACCCACACGTTGGTGGCTTCTATGGAAACAAGTGGCAGTATCGTAGCTGTGCCAATGGAGGAGGTTTTTATGATCCCCCAGGGAGGATGAAATGTGGCTTAATGGCTGGTTGTTTTGTTATCGACGTCTCCGTCATTCAATCTGCACCTGATTTTTATCTTCCGCAGGATTGTGTCCAGCTCAATCAATACACTCTGAAGGATGAAATTGGAAAGGTAAACACACACACACATACACAAACACA